CCAAGATGTAGATGAGTTTCTTCATCAGAACAGATTTGGAGAAATGTAGCATTACATCACTTGCTCACCAATGGATCCTCTGCAGTGAATGGGTGCCGTCAGAATGAAAGTCCAAACCTCTGATAAAATATCACAATATTATATCACAAGATATCACAATAATCCACAAGTAATCCACAAGACTCCAGTCCATCAATTAACATCTTGTGGAGCAAAAATCTGCATGTTTGTATGACACAAGTCCATCGAGAAATGTTTAATTTTAAACCGTTTCTTCTGTCCATAATCCATAATATTGCTTTCTCCAGTGAAAAAGTTGTCTGGTCTGAATCAGGAAACAAATATGTAAAAAAAACAAGCCAAAACAGTCCAAAACATTTCTAAATAAATGTTGTGATTGTTTTTATCACTGTTTGGACTCTTATTCTGACGGCACCCATTCACTGCTGAGGATCCATTTGTGATGTAATATTAAATTTCTCCAAATATGTTCCGATGATGGCCTGAGGTTGAGTAAAAAGTATAAATCACCTTCAGATGTACTGCATTACATTTCAATGTATTCATTAATTTAGGTTAAAAGATTGAACCCATCACAAAACCTATATCAGCATACTTGGTCATATTTTAAGCCAAAATCAAATTAAAGAAATATTAAATTATATTTTCCATAAAGAAAATTAAGCCTGTTTTAAGCCTGTTTTTGCATTATGACATTATTGTCATGACAAATTATCTTCACATTACATAATAAATAAATAAATAAAAAAAGATCTGAATTTGTTAATATTTGTTCTACTGCCTTTTTTATACTGGTTTAAATAATGTGTTAAGTGTGTTAACTGTGCTACTTTTAAGACATGAACCATTTTATTAATCTGCGTTAACATTGTTTATTTGGCTTATCTTTGATCATCTTCTCAGAATTTGTCCTGATTTTACAGTAAAACATTTATCAGGTTTTTCCAGAAAACGGGATGATGTGAGGCACGACTACTGGAGTCAGAGATGATTGATTTTTATGTGAGTCATGTGACATGGTCATGTGAATTGTGGCTTCTTGTAGACGTTCAGTAACAGAGGCCCAGTGTCAGTGCTGTCATATAGTTTCAGAAGAGCTGCTGTAGATCACAGTACACAAGGCTGGTCTATTCACTGAGGGTCTGACAGAATAAAGAGTGGCCCACAACTACTGAACACAGGCTGCCGTCACACCTAGAGAGAAACGGGCTGGAAACATTTCTTCAGAACAAACTCACTTCTGCATGTCTGATTCTTCTTCATGGAGTCATTGTATGATTGTTTGGAATTACAATTGGTATATTGGAAGTGGCATTTTCTAATATACACTCACTTTAAAGAAACTTTTGTCACTCAAATGTTTCTCTTTCATAGCTCTGGAAATTTAAAGGGATAGTTCACCTAAAAATTTAAATTCTGTCATCATTTACTTATCCTCGAGTTGTTCCAAGCATGTATGAATTTCGTTCAGCTGTCGAGCACGCATGAAGATATTTTGAAGAATATTGGTAACCAAACACTTGATGGTAGCCCTTGACTTCCATAGTATGGAAAAAAAATAAAATATGGAAGTCAATGGCTACCGTCAATTGGAGCTAGAAATTGTTATACATGCACTTTTTTCTTATTATAATGGAAAAAATAATACATTCTGGGAAGGTTTATAAATGTGAAGATCTCATGTCAAATTGATTTTGTTTATTTAGCATGTCTCTAAGGATGTTTTCACACTGCACCCAATTCTGTTTCGCTTTTCACATCTGATCTTTAGGATGTGCTGCTCTGGACTGTCATTTTGCAAGTGCTGAAATGGGATCTGTTTGTTCAGATGGAGGTGTCTATCTGGTATATCTGATTTTAAAAGCTTGCCACATCCTGGATAAACTATTTGAAAACAAATCTGAACCACTTTTCCAAAAAAGTTGATTTTAATCCAATTTCAAACCGTATATAAAAGTGGTAAGAATGTGTTTTATCTATTTTATTTTAATATTTTATTTAATTTATTTATTTAGGTTGGTATATCAGACTACAAAAATGGATTTGAGTCTGATATTTGACATCACATTTTTGGTGCCTGTCCTAATAAGGCCTAATTCTCCCTGAAGTGAGCTGATTGCTTAATTAAGAGTTTTGTCATTAGAGGTTATTCACTCTTTTGTTCAGATACTGGTTGTCCTGAATCAGAGGGCGGAAAGGAGAAAAAGATTGTATCACAGGGAGATAATCAGCAGTGGGTCATTGGGTCTCTGGTTTATGTGGCTGTATTGATTATACAGGCTCAGGCTGGAAATTGAAGCTAATGTGCTCATGGACTCAGTTCTCCCACAATGTGTCCTGTCTGCTTTGAATCACTGCCAGTCAATTCATTAGTGCCCTCTCTTTACTTTACCACTAGATGCTCTACTTGTAACATAGATTTCATAAAGATTTTATATTATTATGTAGTACATACTATTGTGTTTATTAGTGTATGTATGTTTGTAGAGTGTTACTATTAAATGTATTTTATATACACTATATTTTGGTATTATTCATTTTATTAATAATTTATAATTAATATTATAAATGTAACATTTATATGCCGCATCATGCATAACATTACTAATACTAATGCTAGAATTTTCAGTGTGTATACAGTTATTTTATGGTGCATTTTGTGCTTGACTATTCTATATTTATTGTGCATGCATGACTGTATTGAGCTATATATCTGTTTTCTGTATGAAGTAGGATTTTTGAGAGACCCAGTCAAATGGGAGCTGGTTGGAGGTTTGTATGATTAGGGGCATGTTGAGTCGAGGAGTTAAAGAACAGGAAACACCAACTAATAACATGGTCCATTACCTTCAGGACAAAACCTTTACCATTTGTTTGTTCTCACGACCCTTAGAAAAGACTTTAAGCCCTTGAGAGAATAGGCCTGAGGTGTGGCACAATTGATCAGCCAACCCTATGTTTTTTCACAGCTGTGCGTTTATAATGAGATCTATTGACTCCTGGTGGAGGCCTTTCTTCTTAGTCATATTTATGAATGACAAATATTTACATGATTTTTCCCGACTCAGATGAGACGTGTCTCGCTAACGTTTGGGATTCGAAGAACCGCGGGGTGAACGGCACTCAGAGGGGGCAGATCATCTGGAGGTTGGAGCCCGGACCGTACTTCATGGAACGTAAGTGAGAGTTTTGAAAAGTGATATGCACTTTCTTTTTAAAGGAGCGGGGCTTTTGTTAAAGAATGGGTTTGACAAAGTTCGCAAGGTTATTGGCATCAAATGTTTGGAACACTACCATTCAAAAGTTTGGAGTCAGTAACAAATATAATATTCTTGAGCAGCAAATCAGCATATTAGAATGAATTCTGAAGCATCATGTGACACTGAAGACTGGAGTAATGGTGCTGAAATTTTTTTTATCACTGGGATAAATTATATTTTAAAATATATTCAAATAGAAAACAGTTGTTTTAAATAGTAATAATATTTCACAGTATTCAGCTGTAAAATATATTAAATTTAATAAATATGTAAAATAAATATTTAATACATATGTGGATATATGGAATAAATATTAAATAAATGAGATCTCCTTCAAGAAGATTTATTTATTTATTGTTTTGCCTTAAAATTAGGGTTAATGCCAGATTACCACAGTTTTATTGTAATCACTCCAGCTCAGTTTTTGGCAGAAACTATTTGAAATGATTTCAAATATTAATCCAGGTCTGGGTTTCTCTTGGCATTATAAACCATGACCAAAAAACTAAAACCATAATTTTTTTTTTTTTTTAATGAAGCAACATTAACTTAAATAGTATAAAAAAACTTTGACAAAGCAACGTTTGTGATTTTCATTTAGGTTAATTGGATGTACTAAAAATACTAAAACTAAAACTGAAATGAAATAATAATAATAATAATAAAAACTATGTACACATATAAAAAATAATAAAACTGACAAAAAACACAAAATTACTAAAACTAAAATGAAGGAAAAAAAAAAAATGAAATCAAATTTAAAATAGGAATAAAAGCTATAATAGTATATAGTGTTTCAGCGATACTAAAATAAAACTACTGTATTTCTCTATATGATAATGTGTAATTGTGTGTTATGGTGTACACACAGGTCGGGGCAGAGGGGCAGGTGGATGGACAGTCTGTCACAGAACACTGCAGGAAATTGGTCAGCTTTACTCTGTCAGGTAAGAATGCTTGGTATTTACAACACCTACTTTCATTTTAGTCAAAGAGACTGAAGATTTCTTTTTGAAACTGATTTCAGTATATATGAATTCTGTAAGCCGTTTGAGAGGCAGTACTGTGATTTTATGACCCACACCTTCCTTAACCATGGTAAAATCATTACAGTGCACTTAAAACAACTTCAAATGATATATTGCTGTTTATAAAACTGCAACAATGGATACATTATAACAACACTAACGGTCAATAAATAATAACCTTTTTTAAACTAACAATAATCAATTCATACACCAAGTATTATAGTTAATTTGGCTTAATTTATTAGATATTTCAGACTAATTTACAATGCTTTGAAATGTGTCTTATCCTACCTCCAATCTCACATATAAAGCATGTGTTGTCTTTTTAATGAAATCTCTTCTATATATCTGCCATCTTGTGGCAATGAGCAGCTAGTTCACATAGATAGATAGATAGATAGCTCACATTGTGTGTGTGTGTGTGTATGTTGCAGATATCAGGGCTCAGGGTCTGAAGAAGGGCATGTTTTTTAATCCGGACCCCTATTTGAAGATGAGCATTCACCCTGGCAAGAGGCACGGCTTCCCTACATTCACCCACCACGGACAGGAGAGACGAACCTCCATCATATCAAACACGACTAACCCTGCGTGGCACGGAGAGGTAATTTATAATCATGTGTGTGGGCCAGTTAATGATGTGTGCTGTTTGTGTTCACTTCTTCAGCGCTTGACCTCTGGATGCTGCAGGGTGACGTCCCCTACTGTCAGTCCACTGTGAGGAGCTGAGAAGTTAATGGGATGTAACCAAGTAGGGGTGACTCTGAAACGAGAAGTTTTCAGTAAATGCATTGTGCCCTTGAGCAAGGCCTTAACCTCAGATTTCTTCAGAAATTACTGTACTATAAGTTGATAACATTTGGTAAATTACATTTTTTTCCTTTATTATAAAAAAAAAAACGTGGTGAATGATACTAAATGATAAACATATCAATGTATTTACATGGTACTTCAGGGTATTTTTAGGAATATTACCATGGTACATTTATAAATGTTTTATTTAAAGTAAATAAGAGTAACGTTTTGTTACCATAAATGAGGCTGAATATATTGTAGGATTGAATATTATTTTACCTCCACTGCACAGAAACATAACTGTAAACCTTCATTTTCATACTTCTTTTCTTTTCCCCTGCAGAAGTACACTTTTGTTGCTCTGATGACGGATGTTTTGGAAATCGAGGTCAAGGACAAATTTGCAAAAAGTCGCCCAATAATCAAACGCTTTTTAGGTCAGCTGACAATACCAGTGCAGAGACTGCTGGAGAGACATACAGCCGGGTGAGTATTCGCTATTTATCAACCAAAGAGCTGTAGCCTCCAAGTGGAGTTCATTTCTGTCTACAGACGTTTATCTAGACATAACTTGTTTAATAATTCAGGAAGTTAAATAAAAAATGTTTGCATCCCAAGATGTTACATTTAGAGGTACATACTGTATTTGGTCATATTTTCATTGACAAAACAATATTTATGTGTAAGCTTATTTATTTATACAGATTTATTCTTTTTTATGAACTATATTACAAACTGATTTTATTACAATACAATAATAGTTATCTGTGTGATTTTTTTTTTTTTTTTGAAAAAAGGGATCAACATGTGAACTACACACTTTCACGTCGTCTACCGACAGAACATGTGAGCGGACAGCTTCACTTCAGGGTGGAGATCACCTCCAATGGACATGAAGGTACGGATTACAGTATGTTTACAGTAAAACTTACAATATTCTTATTTTTAGAGTAAAAATAAGAATATTGTGAAATATTATTACAATTTCAAATAACTGTTTTCTGTTTTAATATATTGTAAACTGTAATGTATTCCTGTGATGAAAAAGCTGAATTTTCAGCATCATTACTCCAGTCTTTAGTGTCACGTGATCATTCAAATATCCTTCAGGAACCATTCTAATAAGAAACATTTATTTTCAATTATTTTCTATTATTATCAGCAACAGTTGTGCCGCTTAATATTTTTGTGTAAACCGTGATACCTTTTTTTTTTTTTTGAATGAAACAACATTTATTTGAACATGAAATCTTTTGTAACTTTATGCATTTTGTAAATTTATACATTTTGTAACGTTATATATTTTGTAAAATTATAAATGTCATTATAGTCACTTTTGATCAATATAATGCATTCATGCTAAATAAAAGTATTCATTTCTTTCAAAAGAAAAAAAGTACTTTTAATTGGTTGTGAAGCAGTATTTTCAGTTTTTAAGTTTATATTTTTGTATATTTTGAAACTATGTTTTCTCTTTCTATCTTCAGTCCAGACTAAACCCTTTTTCAACAACCTAACCTTTAACCTTACAGTTTTTACAGTTACATCCTTGCCAATTTCCACTCATAAAACACATATTTCTGATTCAAAAATATGTTTTGATGAGCTATGTTCAGATTTATTGTAAAATACTACCCATTATGTAATTCTTGTAAACTATAACCAGCCTGCAGTTAGCTAATAAAGTATATTACTTGGTTAAAATATATATTTATTTATTTATTTAAGGGGGTTTTAGTGGGTCCCCTTCATGCCATGCCTCAAAAGATCCTTTTTCAGAGTTCTTTGATGAATATAAATTTCAAAATAACATCATTTTATTATTTTGTAACATTTTAAATGTCTTTACTGTCACTGTTGATCAATTTAATGCATCCTTGCTGAATAAAAGTATTACGCTTTTGTAGATGCCATGGGATCTCTGCTGGGAGCTTCCTCTATGAACGGAGATCCTGGGAGCCCATCGGATGATGAGGATGTTTTGCATCCTTCATCCCGCATTGCCAGGGGCCCCTCGCCCACTGGCTCTGAAGGGTCCCTGCACGGTGACGCCTTTAGGACTGACGAGTGCATGATGGACCCTGATGAGGATCGGCTCTTGAGAGACGGAGCTCCAGAGTCTATCGAAGGAACCCCGGGCCACACTCATCGCCAGGCCTCGCTTAACGACTACCTGGATGCCATTGAAGCCCCTAAGGGCCCCGTAGACAGACCGATTGGGGCCGCCTCACCTAAACTACGCTCAAGTTTCCCCACGGACACACGGCTCAATGCTATGTTACATATAGATTCTGATGAAGATGAGGAGGGACACGCCTCCCGGGATATGACATTGACCAATGGCGCTCAGCGGCCTGATGGACACACCTCCTCTGAACAGGACAAAGGGGAGGGTCCCATGAAAGAGAGGCTTGAAGCAGAAGCAGTGAGCAGCGCCACAGATACAGAGGCCACAGCATCAGGGTCGAGCAGTGCCACCACAACGAGCCAAAATGGAGGTGCTGAGGACGGTCTGGAAGGAGCTGCTGCCTCTGGAGACTCGACACAGAGCACCAGCAGCGCTCAGCAACCAGCTCCCAAAATACAGGTCTGTAGGGTTTGGCTTCCCCCCTTTTTTAACCTGTTATGGGAATACGTTATATTAGCCTATTTTCCATGCAGGTTTTAAATATTTTTATATTTAACTGGGGTAACAGGTGTGTGTGTGGGGAAAAAAAGTATATTTATATATATATATGTATATATATGTGTGTGTGTAATCAAAATATTATTTTAATATAATTATAATTTGTAATTAATTTGTTTTAACGACACATTTTATGACCTGTTATGTAAATATGTTTTCATGAAGGTTATAAATTGTTAATAGTTATTTATTTAAAAAAATCTTATTACTTTTTTCATATTTTTTAACATTACTCTTCTCTGATTTAAAAAAATATATTTTTAAATTAATTTTGTGAATTTTTTAAATTGATAATATTTGTCTCTCTCTCATATATGGCTGAGGTATTGTTAATCATGAAGTATTAACTGAAGGATTAGTATTATTGAAGTATTAGTACCTTATTAAAACCAAGTTAAATTATTGACTAAATAAAAGTGTTTTATCATATTTTATGACAAACTCATAATTTATTTTACATTTTATAGCACACCTCATGCGTGTTATTGTGGTGGTTTTCGCCGCTTCTCTTAGAAATCACTCTCGAAGTCTTGAGGTTTTGATGCCAGAAGATAGACTTTATTATCAAAAGATAACAAAGCCGAGAGACTCTTTCTGAGACCCTCTTTCTGCACCCCAAGAGTCTTTCTGCACCCTCTTTTATCCAGTTTTTCCTCAAGGCGTGTTCTATACATTTCATACATAGCAGACAGGAGGCCTCAATTTATGTTTCGTGAAAAGAAGAGGCCCCATCATATATTTTGTCTAATGTCAAAACAGGACGTGCAACTTCATCATATGTGAGCACATTCCATTTTCATGCAGGCTTCTATACACACAGGCAAATACATCAGAGGCGTCATGCCCATTTAAAGTGAGGGGGCACGTGCCCCCTCAGATTTCTGAGCCAAGTGGATTTTGAATGCAGCTTCCAAAAGACAAAAAATAGCAGAGTAATATTTTTTTTATGTTTGATACAATCACACCGGTGTGATTAGATCGTTCAGTGCGGCACAGCATCAGCTGCTAATTCAAATCTGTGTTCGCTGGCTGGCGCTGAGCCAGAGACAGACGCGTTTGTACAGCGCTGCATTATAACCAATCACACATGATGCTGTTGAGCTTATGAATGCAATGGCCAATCAGAGACGTTCAGATGAGTCATCGCTGAAACGCGGTGTTTTGTTCACTTGCTCGCTGACTGAATTATCTGGCGAGTTCTCTCATCAGAAACAAAAAAGTGCAGATGTGCGTACGAATGTAAGAAAGATATTAATTTCACAGTGTAATCAGCTTCAGTGATTATAATGGGAGTTTTTGAGAGTGCCTGAACTCTGGCTAGACTGAATAAAAATGTTATATGATAATGTAAATGTTCTTTACTCTCTGTAAAATTAAAGTGTTATAATTAGTAACAATATTGCTATTTAATTCACATTAAATGCAAAGTCAGTCGTATTAAAAATATTTTATGGCATGACACCCATATCTGGAACTTAAGTAAAAAGTTGGGGTTTTATGTGTAGTTAATAGATTACACTATTACTCTATATATAAAGGTGCAAAATGCATTTACTTAAGCTACACATATTTGAGAATCAAGATATTTCCTGTAGTTAACAATATTTCGAAAAAAAGGGTTGGAAAAAATAAATAAAATGTGAGCCTATATATCAGTTATAGTGGCTGAAAGGTGCCGCATTTACTTAGGCTACACATATTTGAGAATCAAGATATTTCCTGTAGTTAACACGTTAGGAAATATTTCGAAAAAAAGGGTTGGAAAAAATAAATAGCCTATATATCAGTTATAGTGGCTGCTGTGTGTCACATGACAAGCATGATCACCCCCCCCCACGTGCCCCCTCAAAAATCAAGAGTGCATGACGCCCCTGAAATACATTATTATATTAGTAAAATACCTTGATACATAAATGGCTATATTCACAATGATTGAACTTGATTAATTTATATTTTGATTAATACAAATATTCTACATTAAATCACTTGAGCAGCGTCTTGTGATGATGGTGATCATCATCGTCATCATCATCATCATCATCATCATTTTGCCAATTTATATTGTTATGTAGTTCTTCCTTTGCATCATATAATACTTTTCTTACAGGATGAGGAAGGAGTTGTACCCAAGGTGATCACTGGGGAAGAAGGATCATCAGAGGCTGCTACAGTCACAGAGTCCTCAGCATCTGCCAGCAATGCAGCTAGTGAAGGGGGCGGAGCCACAGCAGTTAAACAGCAGGAGCAGGGGAACTCCAGTGAGGCAGCCAATGAGGGGGAGGAAGATGCCGAAATCTGGCAGAGGAGGCAGAGCCTGCAAGCATCAGGGAACTCGTCACAGGCTGAAGGGATGGAATTAACCAATGAAGTGAGGAGGGCAGCTGACGCAGCACAGGTTGCCACGGTAACAGAAGGAGAGACAGGTAATTCCTGTGTGATGCTACATGTCATTTATATAGTAAGTCAGCAGAGGGGACTGGAGAATTTTATGAGAGTTGTCATCAAACTTTCATCAGCTTTTACCAACTTTTTAAACTTTTCTGCGCATTTAATAAGATAATAAAAATAATACTATTGTAAATAATATCATAATATTAAACATATTTAAAATAGTACTACGTAACACATTTAAATAAATATTAACTATTAAGAACAAAAGTAATAATAATGATACTTTACATTTATATTTTATTATAATAAACTTTATTTTAAATATTACTATTTGTTCTTTAAATTAAAAATATTCTATATGCTATTATTAAAATATTATGAATTCTATTCAAATAAAATATAACCTATTGTCTAGCTTTATATAATAGGAATAATAGGAGACTTTATGAATAATTTGTGTACAATATATGTATGTTTACATAACACAAACAACACATTTTTGCCTTTGTGAATGGCCATCAGCTAATGCAATCTCTTCCTTCAGTGCGTCATGACATCAGCCGCTATCAGAGAGTGGACGAGCCTCTTCCGCCAAGTGAGGGAATATTTTTGTCTTTGTATGAGATTCGCCCAACCTGTCCTAAATGGGACATAATCATGGAAAATTAGATTTATTTTTTGCTGTTTTGAAATAAGGGTATTTACATAATTATATTTTATTATAACATTATAAGTGGACTTTAAATGTGTATGTTGTAGACTGGGAGGCTCGTATTGACAGCCACGGCAGGATTTTCTTTGTGGATCATGTGAATAGAACCACCACCTGGCAGCGGCCCACTGCTCCACCTGCACCTCAGGTCCTACAGAGATCCAACTCCATTCAGCAGATGGAGCAGCTCAACCGAAGGTCAGTCACACATGAACACAATATTCACATATCGGTGTGTTTACACCAGCCAAAATCTATCAAGATGGCATGAAATCAGCAGTGATTAGAGTGAAGTCTGATAAAAGGAGTGTTTTGAGCACACAGTGACCTTATCTTGGGTCCAAAATGACATTTGTTAATCCTCACGTGTATGGAAAAACAGCTCTTTAAAAATGTCACTCAGCAGTCACCACAGCAACCTAATCTGTTCTGCCATTATCATGCTCCATCAAAACATCTCTCACGCTCTCTCTCATCTGCTTTCTCTCCCTTAACTTGATTTCAATTCATTGTACTTAATTAGCATGCATTTCACTTGCTAAAGCAATTGTAGCATAGCTGCGTACAGCATCCAAAATTAACAGTTCGCCAAGCATAAAATGTCAGTAAAAATGACAATCAAATAAAGCTTTTTAAATCTAGGATTTTTTCCCTTGAGAACAGTATGTGGCAACACATATGTGAATATTCCCTTCACAGCTGAAAATACAGTGTCATGGCTGGCAGGAATTATTTGTGGCATATACATTTGTAATTTAATTTAATTTAATTTAATTATACTATTATATATTAAACTATTTATACGAAATAATCAATTAATTAAATAATTAAGTGTTTTCCTTGAAGAAATCATAGTAATGTGCTGTTTTTGTGCTCAAGAAATATATCTTATAATAAAATGTATATATTAAAAACAGCTGTACTGTAATAAGTAATTATTATTATTAAAATTAAAATAATACTAATAATAATAATTATTATTATATCATATTTATTATTCAGTTTTTTGTGTTTGTGTTTTTGTGATTAAAATGTTTTTTTTATTTTTTTATTTTATTGCATTTTCTTATTTTTCTTTTTTTTTAAACTGCAGAGTAGGCCACGATAGCAATATCTAATTTAGCAATAATAAATACATTACAGAAGCAACAAAGTATAATTATGAATGATAAAGTACAATTATCCTTGTGAAAAGATTATTACATGAAAAATAGGACTAAATATGCAAATTAATTTGAGTACCTCTTTGTTTTGTTCAGGTATCAGAGTATTCGGAGGACAATAACCAATGAGAGGACAGACGAACAGGCTGCAGAGATGCCTACAGACGAAACCGACCTGGTGCATCACTCCATACCTGGTACTCTCTCACAATAGAAATACACACACCACATACATGCACTGCATTTAGATGAGCCTGGTTATTTAGATTCAAGGAAATATGGAATAGAGAAAAAATATTTGTTGATTTAACCCAATATAATTATCACACTATAGTTGTCCTCTCTTTCAGAGTACCGTTGGGACGGTGTGGTTGGGCCTACTAGCTCTCACTCCCGCTTGTCTCTGCTGCTTCAGTCCCCCAGCGCCAAGTTTCTCACCAGCCCGGATTTCTTTACCATACTGCATTCCAACCCTGTTAGTCTTCCAACACATTAATTATTCACACCTTTTTTTTTTTTTACCACTAGCCAATTTTCAGTCCCTTGAAAGAAATTTGTGGTAAATCATGCCATAAAAACAACTGATTCTCACAAACCCGTTATCTGGTTCTGTCATGAATTTTGTTGAAACGTTTCTTTTAAAAGTAACATGATATATTGTTACATAATAAGTAATTTTGTTGAATTTTTACTTTTTAGAAGGCCACTAGCATTACTTAAAGACTAAGAAACACTCTTGTCTGTTGTTTTTTCTTTCTCAGAGTGCCTACCGCATGTTTACAAGTAACACATGTCTAAAACACATGATCAGTAAAGTGCGACGGGACGCGCACCACTTTGAGCGCTACCAGCACAATCGAGACCTGGTTGCCTTCCTCAACATGTTCGCTAACAAACAGCTGGATCTCCCGCGGGGCTGGGAAATGAAACACGACCACACGGGAAAGGTCTGGAAACATCTTCTCTGTGTTCTGTGTCCACATTCTGGATATAGCGTTCTTTCTGTCTCCTATCAGCCATTTTTCCACCCCCTGCTTTTAATTTTACAGTACATTTCTAAATAAAATATGGCCAAAAATAAACAATATATACCATTCAAAAGTTTGGGGACAGTAAGATTTTTTAAAATGTTTTTGAAAAAACTTTTTTTTTTAACCATCCATATTTATTATACATAATTATTTTTCTTTTTTGTTCTTATATGCCAGTCATTCTAGTCTTTCTCCTTTTATATTTAGTCCCTTATATTTTACAGTATATATATAAAAACGATTATCTGTGAAATATAAACAACAGTTCTCTAAATAAAAAACCCCAATATAAATAAAATATAAAATTGTATAATTTAATATACTATTCTTATACACTATGATTTAATTTTCTATCTCCTTATAGATTTATTATTTTCTATCAGAAAGAGCTTTACAGTTATACACTTATACTGGAAGCTTAGCAGGAAAGCAGGTGGTACCGCAGATAAATGTTTAAAATATGCTTTAAAGGTACAACCGTAACACTTAATGTAAATATTTAATGTGTTAGGGTTTTACTGGCGCATTCTTGTAAGTGCTTTAACATGAATGTGAGCATCACATTTGTGCTTTTAAATCCTTCGACCTACTTGCTTGACATGATTATGTCTTTTCCTCAGCCTTTCTTTGTGGACCATAACTGCAGGGCGACCACCTTCATAGACCCACGACTGCCACTGCAGAGCGCCCGACCCAGCAGCATCCTCGCCCACCGCGAGCACCTCAGCCGCCAGCGCAGCCACAGCGCAGGAGAGGTGAGCACACGACGCCTGGTGAGCCTTCCATACACACGTCCACTAGAGGCCTCCTCCAATCAGACACTTGAGCTTAAAATTCAAGCTCCTCCCATATGGTTTGCACCATCATCATTGCAGGAGGGATTTGAATTGAAGGGATAGTTCACCCAAAAATGAAAATTCTGTCATTAATTTCTCACCCTCATGTCGTTCCAAACCTGTAAGACCTCTGTTCATATTCGGAACACAAATTAAGATATTTTTGATGAAATCCAAGAGCTTTCTGAGCCTGCATAGACAGCAACTTAACTACTATGTTCAAGGCCCAGAAAGGTAGTAAGGACATCATTAAAATAGTCCATGTGACATCAGTGGTTCAACAATAATTTTATGAAGAAATGAGAATACTTTTTGTGCGCAAATAAAACAAAAATAACAGCTTTATTCAACAATTTTTTTACTTCCTCGTCAGTCATTAACGAGAGTACCATGACGCATGAGTGTGATCCTGCTAACGCAATGCATCGGGCATGCATCGTGGTACTGTCGTGAATGGCGGCGGAGACTGATGCTTTCATCAAAAATCCTGAAAAAATGTATCATGGTTTACACAACCAGTTAATAAGTTGCTGGTTTGCTATGAATTATGCAAACTTAACCCAAAAACCTGCTGATCTAGATGCCTTGGATCCTTTCTTTTTTAAAGTAGGTGCATCAGTTATATCTGAACCTTTAACATATATTTTTAATTTATCTGACTAAAACTACAGCGGGAATACCTAAAATCTGGAAAATAGCCATTGCATCCCGTGTCTATAAGAGTGGTGATAAAATGCATCCAAACTCATATCGTCCAATCTCTTGTGTTGCAAAGGTGATGGAGAAATAATTAATAAGCAATTGATAGGTTTTCTTAATACATGTAACATTTTATCTGAATTTCAATCTGGTTTTTGGCAGTTGTAAAAGTTATGAATGATATTTATAATGCATTAGAAACAACAATTTTGTGCAGCTATTTTTATTGATCTTGCCAAAGCTTTTGATACAGTTGATCATTCTATTTTGTTATGCAGATTACGTAGTATTGGTGTGTCTAATTTAAATTGATCTTTGTTTTCTAACTATTTATTTAAAAGATCCCAATATGTAAATATTGATCAACAACCAAGATTGATCTGAACCATTAACTATATTAACAAAGGGGTTCCTCAAGGCTCTGTGTTAGCATCAACCCTGTTTTCAAATTATATATATTATATTATATATATATATATATATATATATATATATATATATATATATATATACACCTTGCTACGTGTACTGCGTTAGGCTAACCGAGACTTGTCATTTGCACTTATATATTGTTGCTCTTTTGTTAGTTTTGACTGCTTTTATTGTCCTCATTTGTAAGTCGCTTTGGATAAAAGCGTCTGCTAAATGACTAAATGTAAATGTAAATTACATTAATAGTATTTCTCAGGATATCTGTAGTCAGAAAACTTATATCCACTTATATGCGGATGATACCATTTTTTTATGCTGTAGGATCATCATATGATGAAGCTTTAAAACAGGTACAAGACAGTTTTATTAATATTCAAGATGTTTTTAATGACTTAAATTTAGTTCTGAATAGCACAAAAACAAAAGTAATGTGGTTTAGAAAAACAAACAAACAAGGTAATAAAGACATTACTTTTGCATTACTAGCAGGGGATGATGGGAGCAGAGGGAGGGGAACCATGGGAAATGCAGTCCAGCTAAAACATAAACACAACGTCCAAAACAGTGCCCTCCGATGGCTCTTAAGGGCACTCCAGCAGATGACTGTGATCTTCATTTAAACATCTCGGAATCTGGCTTGATAGCTCTTTAACTTTCACTAAGCATAATTAATCTTCAGAAGAAAGTTAAATACAGACTTAGTTTTTTTGTATCGAAATAGATCTGTGTTTACTACATCAGCCAAGAAATATCTTGTTGAAACCACTGTTTTACCATTGTTTGACTATGGTGATGTGGTATATAGAAATGCACCTAAAGGTGTTTTTGGAGCAGTTAGATGTATTGTATCATGCAGCAATTAGATTGATTACTAATGCACCTTGCAGAACTCATCATTGTGAATTATACTGTATCATTGCATACAAGACTGGAAATACACGGGTATGTCTTTATTTCAAAAAGTTTTGTTTGCTGTTTATTACCTAAATATCTTCAAATGTTTTTGCAACTTCATACTAATACATATACAACTAGATCATCTAATTATATTTCTTTGACTATTCCTAGAAAGAAAACGGCGAATGGTCGTTCCGCTTTTGAATTTGCTGCCCCAAATGATTGGAATGTGCAACAAAAACTATTGAAATTAGAAACAAATATTTCAGTCTGTGCTTATAAAAAAATGACCAATGAGTGCCTTTTTGTTTTAATGTTTTAATTGAGATTTTTTTTTGTATGTGTATTATAATATATGTTTGTATATCTTTCATGAGACATTAACTCTCCTGCCAGGTTGTTACTGAAAATAAGAACCTGTTCTTAATGACTTGCCTGGTTAAACAAAGGTTAAATAAATAAAACAAAAAAGTTTAACAATAATATTGATGATAATAATAAGAAATGTTTCTTGAGCAGCAAATCAGCATACAGTATTAGAATGATTTCTGAAGGATCATGTGACTCGAAAGACTGGAGTAATGATGCCAAAAATTCAACTTTGCCATCACAGGCACAAATTACATTTTAAAATATATTAAAAGGTAAAACAAATTGCAATAATATTTCACAATACTACTGTTTTTACTGTATTTTTCATATAAATCAAATAAATGTAGCCCAAGTGCCACATTTTAGTCCAAAGAAGAAAATCCAAAAAGGGTTCAAGTAACTAAAAGGTATTTATTAAAAAAGAACCAGGTAATCCGCTGATGAGAAGCCAAAGAAAACAGGTATGATCAAATTAATCAAAACCATGGTGACTAACTAGTGGCGGGAAAAGACAAACAAGGAAACAGGAACTGAAGAGAAACAAACAAAGAAAAAATCCATAAAAATGAAACTAGAACAGAGGAAAAATGTGACACCTAGTGAGTTTAAGATACTTCTTTCAAAAAATATGAATAAATATTAACAAACACAAACTTTAGAAAAGGCGTGTAGATCATAACAAACCTTTATTTAACCTAGAATAAAATAGAGAAGAATAGCGTAGGACAGTAACCAAATATGCTAATTCGTTTTAGTTTTCAGTTTCACATAATTCTTTACATCATAAAATATTCTCACCAGGTTTCTCATTAGGGAATCTGATCTTCTGTCACGTCGTGTGGAGAACAGATCGCCCTCTCAGGCCTCTTTAGATATGCTGATTAATTTCGTAGCGTCGGCTTCCGCTGTGTCCCAGCATGTGTCCCAGTAATTTTCACTTCAGTCCACCCCCAGTCCCCTGTGTGAGTGTGTTTGTCAGTGGGCCATATGTGGATGCATGTAAACATATTGTGTCTAAATATTATTCCACAAATCTTTAAATCCTCTGTTATCATAACATAAAAATGCAAATTAACCCACTTAATTAAAAAAAGTCCCCCTCCCAGTATTTACAGGAGAATTATGCAGCTTGTGTCGAAGCTTGATACATTTCTTAATATATAGATTACCATATTTCCTTGTATGCTATTATTTATTTATTAATTTGTATACATTTAAATTACAAAAATATAAAATAATACATATTTTTATAATACTATTTAATAAATAATATATATATATATATATATATATATATATATATATATATATATATATATATATATAAAAAAGAGAGATAATTTAAAAAGTCATTAACTATTGATATGCATACTGTACATATGTGTGTATGTAAATATTAATATTTCGCAATACACATTTTATATATATTTTTTGTATTTGCTAAACATTTGAGCATACATATCAATATACATATTAAATGGAAAGGCATTTTTAATTCTGTGATACTCATACAGTATTTCTGCAGTAAGCTGGTCTTTTTCTTGTGTGACTTGATGTGGATGTGAAGTACATAGTGGTCACTTCCTGTTCTGTTTTTGTGCTGCAGGTGGGCGATGACCCTCGGCATGCTGGCCCCACTGTACTGCCACGCCCCTCAAACACCTTCACAGCCAGTCGTAACCAGTGTCAAGATTTAGTTCCTGTTGGTGAGTCATTTCAAGCCAAGCTTCATCAGAAAGCTTTTAGACAGAATTTGATTTGTTCATCTTGTTAAATCTGTCATAATGCATTGTTTTATAAAAATGCTGTGTCACAAAAGAGTTATGACTTTTGAAGAGTCTTCATTTGACATTTCACCAATTGCTTTGTTCCTCTCTTTATAGCCTATAATGATAAAATAGTGACATTTTTGCGGCAGCCGAACATATTTGAGATCCTTCAGGAGAGGCAGCCTGAGCTCATTAGGAATCACTCCCTCAGGTGAGACTCACAGAATTCTGACAAAGCAAACCTCAGTCCTGAGCTACTGATTACAAAATGTTGACTTTTCTAATCCACAGGGAGAAGGTGCAGTTTATTCGTAATGAAGGAGTGTCAGGTTTAGCTCGCCTCTCCAGCGATGCAGACTTGGTGATTTTGCTCAGGTACTTTTCCAATGATTTCTCTGAATTTTACCCTGCAAAAAATGGCTGTAAGAAAATATGAAATAACAATTTTTACCAAAAAAACTGCCATACATTCTCTAAAATCAAATCTTCAAATTAAAGCTGCAGTCCGTAGCTTTTTTTGGTTAAAAATGATCCAAAATCAATATTTGAGCAAGTACATAACCAGCCAGTGTTCGAAACTATCGCCTTACTTTAGCCCGATTTACAACGGTTAGCTTATAATAATGTTTTATAATTTGAGTGGGACGGGTAGGTTTTCGCGGGAAATTCGAGCATGCTGCTGCGTCATTACGTCACTTCTGTAAACATAAAGAAATTGTCCCGGCTACTAGGCTATCGCATGTGAGGATCCTGCAGGTGGCCGATCGTTTATAGCCTTTTCTCACAGCAGCTGGAATAATGAAATATATCATTTTGATGGTGGATTGTAATCCAGAAAGGATTATGTGTTTATGAAACACATGTGAATGAAATTAAATTATATTCCAGTTTTAAATGTGCTTCTGATTACAGATAGCCAGGGATTACACAAGATTTGTATTTTAAAGACAACCAGTTCCAAGGGAGCATAATTTGCTTTTTGGGTTAAAATAATTTCTTAATATGAAATTCGAGTGGTATGACAATTAGAGATTAGACTGTACAGAAATTGAAATCTACTCGCTTATACACACTATACTCATAGTCACGCAATGCTGATGTTGTTAACATGAACAATTTGAGAATAAAGTATAACAATAATAATAATTTGCACGGTTTGATGTGATATGAGCTAATTTAGATTAAATCACCATTCGTAGCATGATTTATTGTAATGCTTTTTTCCTCAGTTAGTCAGAACAAACATGGCAGACTTGTTACTTACTTGTTCAGATGACAATATCCGGTGAAGATGCTTATTTGGGTCATATATTCCAAGATGTAGGATATAATCTGTGAGTGCAAAGAACAATATCCACACCGGTGCTGTGACTGACTGCCACACATACCCCTCAAAACATTAGATTCATCCGCGCTGGAGCCGTGCCGCCGTACAACCCATGCAAGGAAGATAATTCCGCACACAGTTGCAATTGCAGGTTTTCAAACAGAGATGGCGACAAAGAGGCAAAACTTACGGACTGCAGCTTTAATAACACAATGTCTAATAACACATTTCTGCTGATTTGCAAAAATATTGCATAAATATGATGTTTAAAAAAATCGATTAAAAAAAACTTTCCATCACATAGTTTTTTCATAACAACAGAACGAAGATTTCTCAAAGCATATATGTTTCAGCTTCAATGCATTTATCAATAAAAAAGCAGATTTAAGTTTTAATGACAAAAAGAAGTATTTTAAAATAATTTAACTTAAAATCTGCAAAGGAGTGGTAAATATGTTCAAATGCTCCATTTAATGTCAAAGAACTTTATACAATGAGCAAAAAAACAAGAAACAACTGTAAATCTCTGTCGCTGTTTGGATTTAGTGAAACACTCACAGATGTAGCGGAAAACATCTTGGTCATGTTTGCTTTCTCTTCTGTCACTGGCCTTAATTCTAACCTTGAAATCAGGATTCGGCATAAAAGATTGTCTGCAAGATCATTCATACATGTGAAAATGTGCTGAGAATTGAACAAATAGTTGTAATCTTGCTCAGAGGAAGATAAGAATCATGTCTTTGTGGCAGTTTTTCTGGTGACCTAAAAAGGGATAAAACCTTACAGATGGTTGTCAAAAGCAAAAATGCTACAAAATACACATATTTCATGAGCAAGTGTGGCATGCTCTAGCAAAACAGGCACTATCGTTGGAATCAGCACTCCAAAATTAGTAAAAAAAAAGAAAGAATTGGATTTCATTCAGCAAATATGATGCACGGTGGTGTAATTATTATCTTTTGGCTTCACAGGTAAATGGAGCTTAGATATTTTTTTTTTCGTAGCAAAACAGGCACTATCGTTGGAATCAGCACTCCAAAATTAGTAAAAAAAAAAGAAAGAATTGGATTTCATTCAGCAAATATGATGCACGGTGGTGTAATTATTATCTTTTGGCTTCACAGGTAAATGGAGCTTAGATATTTTTTTTTTCTCCCCAGGATACATGTGTTTGCCTCCAAACACTAATAATCTTTGTCTCTTTTTCTTGCTGTAGCTTGTTTGAAGAGGAAGTGATGTCGTATGTGCCACCTCATGCCTTACTGCACCCCAGCTACTGTCAATCACCACGAGGGTCTCCGGTCTCCTCCCCTCAGAACTCTCCTGGTCCGTTCCTCTCAGTCACATGGAAAAAAATTCAAGAAACATTTATGAATAGCATTGCAAAATTATTTCATATCTTACATTTTATAATTGCAAATATAAGAGAGTTTCTGATTCTCTGGTTCTGCTCATCTTTCCACAGCATTGCTTTAGTTTTGGTTGTAGCGCTTGACATGCAGTCGACCAGATTTCCTGGGTATTTTTCGAGTTAGCTGCCAAAGCATCAAATCCGCTGTGTGGGATTTGATGTGTAGTTGGAGTCCAGGGTTTTTGGCTAATCTCTGCACGCTGGTTTTTAACCGTTACACTGACACTCAGATTTTCACAAGTCTGTTTGGAGAGTGGCGGACATCATGTTGCCAGAGGGAATCATGGTCTAATTCACCATGATCTGACTTTAGTCACCGCTGACTCAGGGATTACACTTTTCGCTGGTTATAGCGGGTTCTGTGAATTCTACACTCCTTTTTTGCTTGAATAGAAACCATTCTGATACACTTTAACTGGACTTTATACTGAGGAATAGAATAATTTTGGACCATATCCCATTTAAACAACAACAATACTACTGCTACTACTACTACGAATAATAATAAAAATATTAATAATAATAAATTATTATTATTATGACGGTTGTTGTTTGCATATCTTATTGTCAAAATTTTTAAAGCTATTTATTTATTTATTTATTTATCCCTGCTAAAAATGAGTTTGTTCTTTTATATCTCAAGTAATATAACATATTTATTTTATTAAATAAATGTAGATAGTCTAGGACAGGGGTGCCCAACCCTGCTCCTGGCGATCGACTGTCCTGCAAAGTTCAGCTCCAACCCTAATCAAACACACCTGATGCAACTAATTAGGGTCTTCAGCATCACTTAAAAATTAAAGGCAGGTGTCTTTGATTAGGGTTGGAGCTAAACTTTGCAGGACAGTCGATCGCCAGGAGCAGGGTTGGGCACCCCTGGTCTAGCAGAACAGTGAAATTTTGAATCCTAGTTCATATAATAATAATAATAATAATAATAATAATTTGTATTTATTATTATTATTATTTCCTTCCTTCCAGTAGACATTTTCATTGCTCAGAGGTTACTCTTTTATACAGTAATTATTATTATTATTATTATTATGCAAATTTCAGTTGAAATAGTCTAGGAGAAATTACTGATATATAAAAGAGATCTCATTTGTCATCAGATTTGACCAATAAAGCCTGAATTTTTCTGCATTATCTATACATTTTCTACACATTTATCTATGTTTGATTACAAGATGCTGATTTTGGCTCTTGGCAGAGTCACTTTTTTAGCTGTACTGTATTGTACCTTTGATCTCTTCCTTTCAGGTACACAGCGAGCCAACGCACGGGCACCTGCACCGTACAAACGGGACTTTGAAGCCAAACTTCGGAATTTCTATCGCAAACTGGAGACTAAAGGCTATGGACAGGGCCCAGGCAAAGTGAAGTAAGTATCTGTACAAGTACCCTGAGGTCTTGTTTTATAACACATTGTCAAACTCATGCTGACATGTTGTGCTTGTTTTAGGTTGATAATCCGCAGAGATCATCTACTGGAGGATGCGTTCAATCAGATCATGTGCTACTCTCGCAAAGATCTACAGAGAAGTAAACTCTATGTCAGCTTTGTTGGAGAAGAAGGGTCAGTGTTTCCACAATGTTAAAACATAACCAGACTTTACACTATATAACAGTTATAAAAATAAACGTAATAATTAAAGATAAATTGATCATATTGTGTAATTATTTTCCCGTTCAGACTGGACTACAGTGGCCCCTCACGAGAGTTTTTCTTTCTGGTGTCACGAGAGCTTTTTAACCCATACTATGGTCTGTTTGAGTATTCAGCAAATGACACTTACACCGTCCAGATCAGCCCCATGTCTGCCTTCGTTGACAACCATCATGAGTGGTGAGTGCACATTTTCTTTTAAGTCTGTGCTTACAGTTTTATGCCGCATATGAAGCTTGATTTAATTTGATCAATGCACATACGATATTTAGAAGGTGCTTGGCTCGATCTGTTTACAAAATCTTTTAAAGGGGTCATATGTTGCTAAAAAGAACATTATGTTGTGTATTTGGTGTAATGCAATGTGTTTATGCAGTTTAAGGTTCAAAAAACACATTATTTTCCATATAATGTACATTATTGTTTCTCCTCTGTCCCGCCTTTATGAAACGTGTCAATTTTTACAAAGCTCATCGTTCTAAAAAAGCGAGGTGTGCTCTGATTGGCCAGCTATCCAGTGCGTTGTGATTGGCCGAATGCCTCAAGCGTGTGACGGAAATGTTACGCCCCTTACCATACTGTGATGCCGTCTCCCAGCAGGAAAAAGTTATGCCTTCTTTCTTTGCGTGAACATTTGGGCGGCGTTATGAAAATCTTCCCACATTGTGACGTAGACATGTGGGGGCGTGTTAGATCGAGCCGTTTTAGTAGGATATGGTTGACTCTTAACTTTTATAAAGAATATCGCTTTGGATTTGAGACTTTAGTCTTTGCAACTTTACAGATCTTCTTTATGCACCAAGAGCTTGTAACACTCCAAAGAGAAAGGAAAAATTGAAATCGCATCATATGACCGCTTTAATAGACCAAACTAGCGGAAATGTATCCCATGTTTTTTTCAACATGTTCTGTTGTCAGGTTTCGGTTTAGTGGCCGTATTCTGGGTCTCGCTCTTATCCATCAATACTTACTGGATGCCTTCTTCACACGACCTTTCTACAAAGGCCTACTTCGAATGTAAGTTAAGCATTTCTGCCCCTTTTTTGTAGATTTTTTAGAAGTAGACCGTTATTAAAATTCAGAAGATAATTTTAAAATTTGAGCTAAAAAATTGTTATATAAAGTTAAATAAATTAAAGTTTTATATATATATATATATATATATATATACACAGTATATATGTGACCATGGCCCACAAAACCAGTCATAAGGGTCAATGTTTTGAAATTGAGATTTATACATCATCTGAAAGCTGAATCTAAATAAGCATTCCATTGATGTTTGTTTTGTTAGGATAGGACAATATTTGGCCGAGATACAACTATTTGAAAATCTGGAATCTGAGGGTGCAAAAAATATTGAGAAAATCACCTTTAAAGTTGTCCAAATGAAGTCCTTAGCAATGCATATTACTAATAAAAAATTTAGTTTTAATATATTTATAGTAGGAAATTTACAAAATATCTTCATGGAACATGATCTTTACTTAATATCCTAATGATTTTTGGCATAAAAGAAAAATCAATAATTTTGGCTATTGCTACAGATATACACCAGCGACTTAAGACTGGTTTTGTGGTCCAGGGTCACATATATAAAGTTAACCTTAAGCATTAGGGTTGGGCCGATAGACGATGCCATCATCCATCGTCGATGAAAATGAATATATGAAAATGAGAATGTTACGTTTTTAATGATGTAATTGTTTTCAATGTTTTGGCACTTGGCCATCTAGTGAACTGATATCTTCCCCTTCCCCCGATGTCATCGTCCATCACAATGTTTCACTGTAGACATTGTCTGATGCCAATTTGGTAGACATTGCCCAACCCTATTTAGAATCAATTGTTCTGTTCAGGTGTCAAGATCTTGTGCCGTAAAACTACTTTTTTAAAGTATATTAAAAATGTAAAATAATTAATAAAACATGAATAATAATATAGTTAATAATAAAAATAATGACAATACTAATAAAAATAATATGTTATTATCCACCTTATTCCTGAGTAACCGATGAGCGCCGCCATGATGGATTCTAACCTTAACCGTTTGGGTGCTCTCGTGTTCTGGTCTCCATAGAAATCCATGTTAAAACAGGGTAAAAAGATCGACTGAATTAATTAAACTGAAACTTTTTCAGTTTAACTAAATATAAAAATGTGCACAGGGTTAAGCTGTGCTGTTGTTGGCTGCCACAGTAACAGAAATAAGCTTAAAGAGTTAGTTCACCCAAAAATGAAAATTCTGTCATTAATTACACACCCTCATGTCGTTTCAAACCCGTAAGACATTCGTTCATCTTCGGAACACAAATTAAGATATTTTTGATGGAATCTTGAGAGCTGTCTGACCCTGCATAGACAGCAATGCAACTGAAATGTTCCCATGTCCAGAGACGTAGCAAGGAGATCGGTAAAATAATCCACGTGACATCAGGGGTTCAACCGTAATTTTACGAAGCTACGAAAATACTTTCTGTGCGCAAAAGAATGAAAAAAAAGACTTTATTCAACAATTCGTCTCCTCCGCATCACCCTGTAGCGCCATTTTGGAGAGTATAAGCTGGACGTAAACAACGTATGCTGTTCTGTGTCAGCTGCGTCACACCTGATCTGTTTCCTACGTTGTTGTGATTTGATCTGACGGAAACAGTGTAGCCTATCCGTGTGACACAGCTGACACAGAACAGCATACGCTGTTTACATCCAGCTGATGCTCTCCAAAATGGCGCTACAGGGTGATGTGGAGGAGACGAATTATTAAATAAAGTCGTTATTTTTTTTCTTTTGCGCACAAAAAGTATTCTCGTAGCTTCGTAAAAAAGTACAGTTGAACCCCTGATGTCACATGGATTATTTTACCGATCTCCTTGCTACGTCTCTGGACTTGGGAACATTTCAGTTGTATTGCTGTCTATGCAGGGTCAGACAGCTCTCAGATTCCATCAAAAATATCTTAATTTGTGTTCCGAAGATGAACGAAGGTCTTACGGGTTTGAAACGACATGAGGGTGAGTAATTAATGACAGAATTTTCATTTTTGGGTGAACTAACCCTTTAAGGAATTCCTGTATAGTACTTGTTTTACGTGCCAGCAAATCTGTGCGTGTCTGGCATTGTATGCATAAACGATGACTAAAGAAAGCGAGCATGGCTTGCAGCGCTTAAGTTAAAATACTGTGTGAAATAATATAGAAAATGTTAAAAGAATGAATCTCTAAAAAATAAAAAAATTTATTATTTAACCAATACTAACGCGAACTTGACATGTGTGGGTGCTTAAAATAGACTTTACACTTTCTGTGTGATTAGCCAAATCATGACCATTATTTCATGTTTGTATGTGTGTAACCTGTGTGTGTAGTCCGTGTGATCTGAGTGATCTGGAGTATCTTGATGAGGAGTTTCATCAGAGTCTTCAGTGGATGAAGGACAATGACATAGAGGACATGCTGGACCTGACCTTCACGGTCAATGAGGAAGTGTTCGGACAGGTCAGTGTGTGACTGTTTGTGTACACAAACAGTGTGTAAGCTTGCACAGCCTCTTGCCATTGTCTCACAGAAGCGTGTGTATGTTAGATCACAGAGCGCGAGCTGAAGCCTGGCGGGGCAAATATCCCAGTGTCAGAGAAGAATAAGAAAGAGTACATCGAGTGCATGGTGAAGTGGCGTATAGAGCGGGGTGTCGTCCAACAGACGGAGAGTCTTGTGCGAGGCTTTTATGAGGTACTGAAATCAAATCAACACTCCAGAAGCTTTCAGTCACATAAAAACATGCCACTTCTGCCATGTAGTGTTGCCATGAGATATTTCAGAAGGTTTTTTATTGAATTTCTGTTTGATAGATTTGGGTCAATGTACAATTTTGGTTTTAAATGTTTTTGTTGGCTTTAATATAACAAGAAGTCTTTCGTGTCATTTAAAAGCTTGGGGTCATTAAGATTTTTTTTTAAAGAAATTATTATTTTTATTCAGCAAGGATGCATTGAATTGATCAAAAGTGACAGTAAAGACATTCATAATGTTACTGAAGTCATCTATTTTAAATACAGTGGGTATAGAAAAGAGTACCCCCCACCCCCCGCCTTTAAATTAATCATATTTTGTTGCTTTGCAGCCTGAAATGAAGACGGACACAGTTTTTATTTTATCCAGCTGTATTTACTCAGTGCAACTTATAACATCAGAGTGAAAGATATAACACCAACATGTCAGAAAAAAAAAACAAAACAGAATCACTGAGTTGGAAAAAGGATCATCCCCTTTTGTCAGTGTTTTGTTGAACCAAATTTTGCTTGTTTTTACCATATTTTTATCAAATAAATGCAGCTTTGATAAGTGTAAAAAACATGAAAAAGTGTATTGACCTCAAACTTTAGTTATAAAAAAGAAAAAAATCCTATAAAATTAAAATATGTGACTTGTGTCACTCTTTCTTTTAATTCATTTTAACTCATGTCACTTTAACAAAACTGGCAATATGTTAAGAGTTACATTTATAAAATTTTGTTAGTTAATATATTTGAATAATATAATTAAATAATATTACATTTAAATGCTTAAAATATCATTTATTAATATAAGTAGTGTTACAACAACATAAAATCTGGAAAGCATTTACAAAATATTTCTTGATGCTGAAGGTTATAGTCATAACCACATAATACCCCCATATTATAATATAATATTAAAAACCCCATGACTTTTAAAGGGTCAATTTTGAAATGTTGTTGTGTGTTGTTAATCAAATTATGTTAGCTTTTCATCAAAATATCTTCAGTAACCTTGGTCATTATATGATTATAATACCTGCTTCAAAAAAAAAAAAAAAAAATCTAACTTAAAGGAACAGGAACACACATAAAAACCAATCTTTTTTTTCACTCATGTACAATTTTTTTTTGTTTGTTTTTTTGAGTGGAACGAAGTAATTTTGAAAGATTTTTCTCCCTTCTAAATGTCAGCAGTGCTTCTGTTACTGTTTTTATTATCTTTAATTAGCATCACTGACAAAAGATCAAGTCAGCCAATGAGGAATGAAATGTATTTTTTAAATCCTAAATTATTTAGTCTAACCTTGAATGAAATGAGAAAGAAGATGAATTAATTAATACAACACGGAAGGTTTAATGTATGATTGATGAGTTTCATTTCTGAATTGTCTTAAAGAGATAGTTCACCCAAAAATGAAAATTCTGTCATCATTTACTCACCCTCATGTCGTTCCAAACCTGTATGAGTTGCTTTCTTATGTTCAACACAAAAGAAGATATTTGAAAATTGCTGGTAATCAAACAGTTGGTGGTTGCCATTGACTTCCATAGTATTTTTTTTCCTACTATGGAAGTCAATGGCAACCACCAACTGTTTGATTACCAGCAATCTTCAACATATCTTCTTTTATGTTCAATATAAGAAAGCAACTCATACAGGTTTGGAACGACATGAGGGTGAGTAAATGATGACAGAATTTTTGGGTGAACTATCCCTTTAAGGTACAACTATGCAATGATCCATTTACTGTAGTCTTACCCAACAGGAATACAGGTTACCAGTCTAATAAAACCAAGAATTTCACATCATATTTCATAGTGCTGGCACTGAGCTAGAAGCTGATGTTTTATGGCTGTGAACTGACTGCAGGTTGTAGATGCACGGCTGGTGTCGGTGTTTGATGCACGGGAGCTGGAGCTGGTGATCGCTGGAACAGCGGAGATTGATCTGGGAGACTGGAGGAACAACACAGAGTACAGAGGAGGTAACAACAGACTGACAGCTTCACTAAAGCAGTAATAATGGAATAAATGATTACCATATTTATGATATTACCATCATGGTGTCCAAAACTGTGGTAAAACCATGGTATCAAGATGTGAAGTAAATGATTTATGGCTGAAATATTATCCAGCAGATAGACTGTGGGCTTTTACAGCGTCTGCTAGCCCTACAGGTCAAATTTGGAGTTTATTGGAACAAGTTTATTGGTTTTCCCTCCAGGTTACCATGACAACCACATCGTGATTCGCTGGTTCTGGGCAGCAGTGGAGCGATTCAACAATGAGCAGAGACTCAGGTTGCTCCAAGTGAGTGATGAAAGAGAAACACAAGCTCTTTTTATAAGCCAGAGTGTAGTCTGTACACTTGACCTGTGACTGAAATGTCTCTGTTGTCTCAGTTTGTGACGGGGACGTCCAGTATCCCATACGAGGGCTTCGCCTCCCTAAGGGGCAGCAATGGGCCACGACGCTTCTGTGTAGAGAAATGGGGAAAAATTACGTCTCTGCCCAGGTAATCTGCCTCTCAACTCAATATCCTTTTTTATAAAAGTTTTAAATACTTGTCAGAGCCCTTTATGATCCCATGAAATTATAACTAGTCTATGTCTGTCAGAATTCATTTATATTTAACCTCCACATTTATTTCAATCATCATGTAATGCATCTCATTATGTATCATGCCAACTATAAAAAATTAAGTAGCATTTTACTAAAACATATTTAGAGGAATCTTTCTAAAAATATATAATAATGTACATATACAGTACATAATATACATTTAAATTAATATATAGAGATTGGGGTCTGTAAGTTTTTTTTAATGCCTTTGAAAAATGTCTCTTCTGCTCACCAAGGCTGCATTTATTTGATCAAAAATACAGTAAAAACGAAATTTTATTACAATTTAAAATGATTTTCTATTTTAAAATATTATAAAATGTAATTTATTCCTGTGATGCTAAGCTGAGTTTTCAGCTCCAGTCTTCAGTGTTGCATGATCCTTGAAAAATCATTCTAATATACTGATTTGCTGCTCAAGAAACATTTCTTATTATTATTTCTAATTATTATCAATGTTGAAAACAGTTGTGCAGCTTAATATTTTTATGGAAACCGATGAATAGAAAGTTCAAAACAAATTTTTACTTGAAATAAAAATCGTTTGTAACATTATGAATGTCTTTACTGTCACATTTAAACAATTTAATGCGTAAAAGCCTGATGTATCCAGTGTTATATAAAAACGTCACAAATTTCGGTCTCACTTTATATTAAGTGGCCCTTATACCTGTATACTTACATAGTAACTAGATGTGCACGTAGTATGTAACCACAGTGTAAATACACATTGGTACATAGTATCTAGAGCTGTATTTTTTCTGTAACTACACACATGTAACAACCCTCCGAATGGTTTGTGTAAGTACACATGTGTAACAGGACATATATAACTACATTTTAGTCCTGTTACACATTTGTACTTTCAATACCAAAAAGTGTTGTGTTACCAATGTCCTGTTACACATTTGTATTTACACATACCATTCAGTGGTTTGTTACATATGTGTTGTTACACAAACATTACAGCTGTAGATACTATGTCCCAATGTGTACTTAAACTGTGGTTACATACTATGTACACATCTAAGTACAAAGGTATTAGGGCCACTTAATATAAAGTGGGACCCACATTTCTATTAAGTCTCATTGATGAAACTGAATTCCGATGTAAATCACTTGTTAAATCCATCTTACATAAATAATTCAATGTGAAAATTTGTGTTAAAATTTTATAAACAATCTAAAAAAAAAAGCACAGTTCATGTTTAATGAATGAAGTCCAATAATGGCACATTTGTCCCAAATAAACCTTTCCCCCCACATATCTCATTGCTTATGTGATCCACATAATGGTGCGATCTGGCAATTCATAAAACAGTCACTCAAAAATAGTATGGAGGGAAATTTATGTGATCAGAAAATGAAGTTCATACTTTACTTGTGTTTATTTGTCATTGTAGAGCTCACACATGTTTCAATCGTCTGGACCTCCCCCCGTACCCCTCATTCTCCATGCTGTATGAGAAGATGCTGACAGCAGTGGAGGAGACCAGCACTTTCGGTTTGGAGTGAATGTTGACCTTTGCACTTTGAGCTGATCAAATATACTTCATTTCCACCACCTGTCTAGAAGAGCAAAGAAAATAACCATCTAAACAGACACCAGAAGCACTTAGACGTATATTTTGTACACCGGATCACTTAAATATACTTCCTCGGAAAGAAACAAACAGAAAACAATCGGTCACACAAGTGAGTTGAACTGGATTGACAGTGTGGATGTTCTCTGAATGTTTCTCAGGCGCAAACATCGATGACGCCACATTGATCGGCTCTGATTGAATCGAGGAGGACGTGTCCACCCAAATGCAAGGATGAGTTACTAACTGATTCAATTGAAGAACAAAACAAACCCAAATGACTTTGATATTCTCACACTCTTTTTATCTGTAAAAAAAGACTTTTCTACATAGCATCAAAATGCAGCGTGAAAGAACAAATATTGTGTTGTGAAAGCTTTTTCAGACGTCTCAGATCGCCTCAAACACTATCACACACGACAAATGACAGCGCTGCCCTCTATATTGAAATTAAATGTATATGTTCTCTTTTTATCATATTTATACATTAGTCCATCTCATGTTTGTTTTGACACCATATGCTATCCAAGTAGCCGTCATGTCAGATTTGTGACACTTTTGAATGAATTTGGTTGTTTATATACTCCCACATGCAATGTTTTCAAAGGGCATGTTACACTGAAGTGCACTCGCAGACGTACTACAACTTCTTGAATGTGACCACTGTGTGCAAATGATAAAAAATGAAAAACAGATGATTTTTTGACTTAGTAGTCCAACCTTGGCCTTTCTGTTGTCCTCGGATAACACAATTTTATTTTTGATGACATTTAGAAAGAGAATGGTCACACACCTACTAAATAAAGCTATAGAAACACTTAAAGTCAACATGAAATTAAAACGGACCCGATTTGCGTTATTAATATGCCTCATTATGGTATAATAAAATACCATAAAATGTAAAATGGCTTTTGTTGCCATTTCATGTTGTCTTCCATATCCTTATATAGCTTTGTTGTGACATTATTGTTTGCTGATATGAACACAGCTTTTTTGAATCCCCCCCTTACCTTTTCATTTTTCACTCTCTTTTCTTGAGTCAGACAGTGTTTTCATGTATGATGTGAAACTTGAATATCAAACCCACAAAACCATATCAATACATTCCAGACTTTTCCATTTGCGTTAACTCAACCCAGCCTTTTACAAAACACTGCCGTGGCTGCGGGACGCTGGATTGTACTCTAGTTCTGAATGTTTTGTAACCTAAATTTTGTGTAAGAAATTAATATCGCTTCCAGTGAAAACTGGTATAGTTGAAACTGCCATGGGGCTTTATGAGGGCCATCAAATTTTGGAATAGCAACAGAAGAAAAACACGAGCATATCATCTTTGTCGATTAGATTATGGCTGGCTAGATCATTAATACAAACCAGATAGATCTTCGTTTTTTTTTTTTGTATTAAGGCATTTGCAGTGCCATGCTGATATTTGTGCTGAATGTACCAAAGGTTTAGGGCTGCCGTAGACTTGTGGATTTGAAGATGAGTAAATTAATTGTCCATCTTTTAGTCAACTGTTCCTTTAAATGTACCCTGCCTTTCTAAAGACCAGAGGCTTCAGACAGAGATCACACAAATGTTCTGGCTTTCTGCTGATGTTCATTACTAGAAAGCTGCTGCTTTTGACTGTCTGTACCACTTCAATTTTGCACCATTCACGTGCTCTGAAACAGGTGACTGTTGATTGGATAACAGCTTTCAGAGCTCCATATTTGGGTTTTTCTCTTTTTTGTTTCAGCTCAGATGATTGTATAAAGCGGTTTAAATCACGGAAAATGCCTCAGAGTCTTGATTCCATATTCAGATGGGTTATTACTGTTTTTGGTTTTGCTTTGATGAAATGACTGCATATTCAGATTAGTCAAATTTTAGTCAAACCATATCAAAATTCCATGCCTTTTATTCCCCCC